GCTAGATCCCCACCCTACGGCTGCAGGATATAGGCTGGGCCCATATTGTCTTAAGACAGCTTGTGAGTGCACTTGATCACAGTGTTCTCAAAATATTGATACCATTCGATCTAGCTGGGCTGTACTCATATATACCGACCATAGCCACACCGAGGCATGGGCCAACATCAAGCAATCACGAGGAGTTAACCCAAGCGCCTTGGATGGTTTGTTAACTGGTGTGTCGGTCATGATGTTCAATATATTCGTGGTGTCATGATGTGCGGCTCTTAGCACATAGATGCTGCTAGGTGGGAAAGACATCTTTAGGATGACGATTAATGTATGGATCGCAGATTCGCGCCACGTGCAAGAAGTTGTGGGGCCAGGTTGTGGAACTCATCAATAGCGGCTCGTGGTAGACGTTGCATCCTGTCAACTGACAGAGTCCGATCCTGAACCCGTGAACTCGTAACTACATGACACAGAAATACCTTAAGCGGTAGTCTTGAAACCATGCACATAAGCCCAGTTACTTCCGGAAACACTGAACTCTGAAGAATAACCCTGACCCTCGCACCCAAACCCAGAAGCCCTAAACCATCAAACCCCACAAGACGATTCACTTGGCTTGAATCACGACCAGTTATTGAAATCCGAGGTGACCGGAGCAAAGCTGGTTTCATCTGCTGCGTGGGCACTGCATCTATTCGCAACGTGGACAAGGGGCCATGGATGCATATATACCGAAACAATATCAGCAGACTACCCGGCAGGGTTTGTAGAAAGACTGAATTGATGCTTGGATTCGGAGAACTCATGATTGATCCCTAGAATTACAATTTGGGAATACAGGGTTGAGGTCTGTTCTTGGAAGCTTTTCAAAACTGCACAAGACCACTGTTTCATCACAAGGATTGAATAGATCAGGGTATTAAAATCTATGGATCAAGCACTAAACCCTAAACCCTAAACCCTAACCCTAAAAACCCTGAACCTAAACCCTAAACCCTAAGCCTTTAACCCTAAACCCTAAACCCCTGAACCCAAAACCCCTTAACCCCAAACCCCTTAACCCCAAACCCCTTAACCCCAAACCCCTTAAACCTAAACCCTTATTTCGGTCTGGGAATGTAGTGCTATCTGCTGAAATGTAGGCTGGGGGATGGGGTGCTTATCAACACGCTATATCACCCCGGCTTATGTTGTTGCATGAATCATCAATGCAGGAAGACCATTAATTCGAGAGTCTTTACACGCATCGATCAAATAAGTTCAATGATTACCTAAGCCCAAACACTTCAACTGCACTATACAAGGCCCTTCGAAATGAGCTGCCTCATACTATTGCTCTTTGGAGTAAAAGGCCACAATATTGGGTTCTCGAATCTCAATAGCAGCAAGCCCCTCGCAGAGGCCCCAAGCAATCAACCAAGCATATGACCCTGAAACTTGTATTCCCAAATCCTGCAGAGGTGTTGGTATAACGTTTCTCACAACCCTAGATCGAAGCCTATATAGAATCGCTTAGCTTTCAGAACCCGTAATATTGCACTTGCCCCAATCCCTTTTTTCCTAGCCTGCGGATCATAAACTGGTCCTGAGTTCGGAAACCCCAACTAGACAGAAATCCCTGCCCCGGAGACCGACTCCGTCTATCAGCCCTGGCTGAAATTCCATAACCCCAACACCCTAAGCCCCAAGCGGCTTCAACGGCTAGGTCCAACAATCTCCACCCCCAGAGCTTAAAAAGCCTTCATTTTACTTCTACTAGCCAATGCTGAAGCTAGCTCAGGTTGATCAGAGATGATTCTGGCAGAGCTGCATACTGGAGCAACGACCACGAGGCCACGTTGCCGAAGTCGCCGTAGGTAACCCAACAGCAACCTGGGAACGTAGCCGAGGTTTCAGGGTGGAAAACCTCGAACATGATGACTGTCAGAGACGAGTAGTCAGGCAAGGTGCAGGAATCCCCAAGGTTTTGAGAGATCGTTGGTTTCCGAGTAGAGCACATCAACAGCTCGACATGTGAATCCTCGTGATGTAGCTTCCTTGTGCACAGCCTCGGTCTATAGCACTGCAGGGACAATTCTCGGTAATTAATGATTATGAGAGCAAACTCAGAGTCCATGGCTCCATGCATCTATGACACCGCACACCCAGCAAAGACTTCGATCATATCCAAGTCGATGCGCTTCTCAGACTTGGATCGTACAGGTCTGGGTCATCCATGCATGTATGAACATGTCTTGAATCAACATTGCAAGCCCAGTGACAAGGCCCATGTAGTTCATCAGGAACAGGATGACAATCAGCGCTCGGGGCCTGTATTAATCGAGGAGACTCATATTTAAAATCCCGATCGAGTTACCTGATGGTACGTATACGTACTGGCACAAACGTCTATGCAGCTCAGGTTCACTCCACTGTCCAGCAGAGGCTTCACCAGCGGCCAAGGACCACCCGCCATGCCCCGAACGACCGCGGTAACAAAGGCCTAAAATCTCAATCCTGAACATGTAACTGTGGCAGTCAACAGCAAGGAAGACCTCATCCAGCAGATTTAGAATGTGGTTTACAACATACGTGCAGGTACAAGTTTATTTGCGCCCGTGATGCACTGGTAAAAGCGTCGCAAAAGCTCGGCCTGTCATCCTACACACAGGATTTAGAAATATTGAGGCTTCCTGGGCTCCACTCTTCAAATCGACAGGAGTGCTCATTCGATAAGCCTGTATGTAGGTAGCTACACAGGCGAGTGCCACGACATCGAATTACAACTTGGGAACATAACAGGACAGCCGGTCTTCTTGCAAGTTAGTGCACACAACAACCTGGCTTGAGTAGGCTAGCATTGGGGAGGGTTGTTCAGGGTTTAGGCTTTAGATGGCTTTAGGGTTTAGGGTCTAATGGTGTTGGGTTCACGTAGGTCATATGAGCGGTTAGGGCTTAAGGTTTTGGGTTCAAATCTCATATAAGACATGTAATTACTAAAGCGGGGGCCCTCTCGATCTGCGACCTTGGCTGCCTGTGATATAATTATTGTGGCGCATACCACAAAGAAGAATTTGCAGGGGGATATGCATGAACAGACCCCAGCATCACCCGAGTCGTCGCCGCTTCTTGTCCGAAATGCTCTCAATGAGCACCCTGATCAGATGTTTAGGCATCTGTCGCAATTCGCAGATGCATGGTTAAGCCATCGATCATCCAAGCAGCTCGCGAATGAGGCTGTGCTTCCACAGCTGCTGGGCTTCCTGAGCATGAACCGAATGGTTTTTATTGTTCGTCCCTATACATGTACCGTACGTCGGTCCAGGTATGTACTCATTCAAGCTAGGAAACCCTGTAGGTCTTGCCGTGATCAGTCTTGGCATGCCTGCGCACCAAGCTTGCGTAGAGTCGACAAAAAGCGATTCAGGCAAAGAGGCAAAACGAATCACACAGGCCTAATGAATGTCTGCATAGCAGTCCAGAGCGGCCCATCGTCGTGACTACGTTTCTTCTTCTTGTCCCCATCATCCTGCCAAAAAACACCGAGGAGAAAAAATGAGTAGCTCCCATCTAGCCACGGCTCCTGTTGCTCCTTCTCCGGCTGCTTGCCTGCTTCAGCCTGACGTGGATTGGTGTCATGTTCTGGACTTTATGATAACCCTCGTCCCCTGCCTGGTCGCCCTGCTCCTCTTCATCGCCCTGTTCCTGTTTCTCGCCCTGCTCTTGTTCCTCGCCCTGCTCTTGTTCGTCGCCCTGCTCCTCTTCGTCGCCCGGCTCCTCTTCATCATCCTGCTGCTCTTCGTCGCCTTGCTCTTGTTCGTCGTCCTGCTCCTGGTCGTCGGCACCTGAAGCATTGAATGCCAGTACTGCAACATACCGCCTATACCTTTAAATTTGTCAGCAACAGATTCAAGCCACCCGATGCCCGAAGCACTTACTGGAAATCCTTATAGAGTTTAAGGTCCTGGGTCCCTGGGTTCTGGGTTTTTTTTTCGGGTTTTGAGTTTGTGTAATGCAATCAGGAGCACTCCCGCTGGCTCTGCCGCTGGCGACACCTCGATCGGGGCTTTGGTCTCATAGTTTTTTTAGGAAATATATGGGTTTAATTTAGCATGTTTGGGAGCCTCCAACAGTTAGCAAAATAGCTTGCGAAGCGTTTCGGGATTATAGGGTTTGGGTCTAAGGTAGGGGCGATATCAACCAGCAACATATCGATACAGGTTGGGAGGTCTTTCGGGATTGTATCAGGCCGTGGGGTACACGAGGTTTCCGCAACCTTAAATTCCCTACAGCCGCAACCTGAACAAACCTACCTCCACCATCGTACAGTTCAGCGGTTTGGCATTTGGGGAGCTTGCGCTCACAGGCTTCAGGCGCTTCTGACTAGAGAGCACGCTTGTTGAAATTACTATCGCCAGAGATGAGACCATCGTATCTTTATTTTTGCTGTTGCTGCTGCTGCTGCTTCTGCTGCTATACTCAGGATTGCTAACGAGACTAGGATTACCAGCAGTACTTGAAGCAGGTGCGTCTCACCATGTGGACCTACCCTCCCTTAAAATAATTGTGTAGCCATGAAGTATCCGAATATTAGTGTTCTAACCTTGTCCTGAAACAAACAACACATACTACGACGGCGCACACACCCATAACTAGTTGTGTACATATACATATACATATACATATACATATACATATACATATACATATACATATACATATACATATACACATACATGCATGCATACACGTACATGTCCACATATATATATACACACACAGACACACCCGGGCCCGCTATTGCTTTAAGATCGCCCGCACGTACTAAGCCTCGAATCGCATCAGAGTCACCCGGAAGAGGTCCTGGCACAGCAGAAACCAGACCGTCTGGTCCCACCGCAGACAAGCCGTGGTAGTCCTCCCCAATTGGGTTTAGGGTTTAGGGTTTCATGAGGGTTTAGGGTTTAGGGAAGGGCGGTGCCATATGAATGCTTTCCGAATCGATCGTAATATCTGTGGCAGCGAAACTACAAAATTCCCGATTTCAAACCAAAGGCAAACGCCGACACTTCCTGCGCTGGCGCCGTGGTCTCGGCTTCCTCGGTCGGCCACATCATAAGCAGTGGTCTTCGAGCAGCTCCGCCGGCGTCTCCTGAGATCGAGAGACTGGAGCAGAAGGATGATTATCGTCAATTAAGGTTTGATATGCATAAGTTGAGAACCCGGAATCCTGATGTGGGTGCCTTCTGCTTGAGCCGAAGCCTGAACTTCTGTTTGTGCTGATCTGTGGGATCCAGTCGTGGAGGGTTTGCCATAATCTTCGCAACCACGGACGTCAAGACTGCCGAAGAAGGCGGAGAAATATCGGGGGGTCCTGACTTAATTCAGAGCTAGTACTACATATATCGGTCTGCAGTTACCATGCTAAATCAAGTGTGAATATGTAAGTCCGTACGGGCAGGTATGTATATATAGGCAAGTCCTGGGAAGTAGGCCTATATGTATTGGTCGAGATTCGGGTTTATACAGTTTTGAAAACATACGACATATATTAGGGTCAAACAGTTTTCAATGTTGATATCTGAGACCACTCGATCCTGTAGCTGTCTCCAGTTTCTCTGGAGACGAAGAGTTGCTGGACGACCCCTTCGGTCGCACGAACTTCTTCTCGAGAAGTTTCCCCTTCACGGCATCCTGCCAGAAGATGATCCCTGACAAACCCACAGACCTCAAAGCCTCAAATGGTGAAGTGTAGATAGCTACTCTTAAGTTAGCCAAGGCTCACTCTCCCAAGCAAATCTACTTGATCGCATGACATAGTGTGATGTTCCGCAGAATACTATTTTTAAAGCAAGACTTCCAACTGGCTCCCGGCCTTTAGCTCTTTCATCCAGGCCAACCTGGCCTCCTTCGTTTTTTTGCATTCCCGGATCACGTGCTGCGCCTTATGATGGATTGCTGGAGAAAGCCTGTCTAGACGCACATCTTGACAACATCCCGTAAAGCCTAATCTAGCTTAGCAAAAAAAATTCAGCAAGCAGCGAGGGATTTGAGTGAGCCTGCTTGGCTGTGCGCTACACGGCTGTCACATGAATCCCCGTACTTCATTTCGATGCAATACTGCAGCTGCTCCAAAGACAGAACTTTCTGGAAGTCAGAAAAGGCCGTCAAAGTCCTCGGATAGTTTTTGAGGGCACAGCTTCCAGGGTTGGATTTCCCAGAACATGCCCCCAATTAAGTACTGTTCGCAAACAAGAAGCGCCAAAACCACATCCTTGTTCGTCCTAAGCAGCTCGTTTCGATCCTCTGCCGACAATTTATCCACATCGCCTAGATCTTTTGTTGCGAGGAGGAAGCCTGCCTGAGCACGCAACACACACAGGTACATGATCGAGAGTACTCACTTCTCGCTATACAGCTATACATGTAGAGGCCGTGCACCTGGGGGACTTCAAAGTCCTTCCAGTAGGAAACCATAGTAGCAGGTTCTTTCGACTTCTTGAAGGCACCGAGGCTTTTCGCATCATCAAGCGAATCGGAGGACATGGCTGCAGCCAGGCCCTTTATTAAGATCCGGTGTTTTCGATCTTGCAAATTAATGCAAGCCGTGACGTACTAGCTATGTGCGGGACATACGATCGAGACCGACCAGTCTTGTCTGCGCATGCACAGCAAAATGCTGAGCCACCCCTGGCTGCCGGCGCGAGCGTGTGATTCCTCCAGATCTGGTCATGATCATACGATCCACCGGGCCGAGTCACACTCACGCACTGACACACGTTTACATACATACATACATGCATACATACACATATACGTACATACATACATACATACATACATACATACAGACACACACACACATACATACATACATCCAT